TTACGCCTCATTTCCAGGCAGATTTATGACCCTTACACAATGCTGAATGAAGGAATCCACATGTTTCATGTCAACAAGTGCAAATTTCTCTTTTTTGTGAAAACTCCCCCGGTTAGAATCATGTCAAGGTACATTTGCTCTCGTCAATTTCTAACCGAGAGCCACGATATCGTGTCCGTCACTTGCGATGGCAGAACGATTCGGTGAGAACTAGTGAAATAACTTTGACACAACTTTGACAATAACTATGGACTTGTATCCCATCCCATTTCCAATACTGAAGCCATTCATTATTTTCAAATGAGCGTTTGGTTGACCATCTTAGTCTTTGAGCTGAATGGACGGCAAGATGAAAGACCTCTTTAATTCAATGTCTATTCATTCCAGAAAAACCACACCTAGGGAGAGAAAAAGAACAAAGCTCCTCCTTATAAGCTAACAGATGTGAAATTATCTACAAATAACTGGATAGCCAAAAAAAACCTGACACAATTCATGAGCTGTAGGAAAGAAAAATATCTGTGTGTCAGGCTTTGAATAAATGCTGTGGCTTCAAAACTTTCCCGCAAATGTCCTGGCTGATGCTTTGGCCTGGGAAAGATCATTTTGGAGGGTCCTGGTCATATATTGTGTATCACTATAGCAACCTTGACATCAGTGTTTGAGATTGTAATGTAGCATATTGCCATCTGAGCAGGCTGGCTGGGGAAAAATAACCTGCTACTGGTGTAGCCCATGTGCAGATGAATTACCCAGCTCCAACCCACCTTTGAGGAACTGGAGAGCTAGAGAACGAGCGGTGACTCTAAGTTATAATTTGTTTTTTGACCCATTCCTGGGGCATCATGGTTAATTGTCTTGTCTCCTTTGAGTTCTTTCAGAAGACAGTGGCTAAGTGACAGCTTACAAGTACTGAATGTAATGAATACAGGGGGAGGTTTTCAGTTCATTGAATGATCTTCTAATGTGCCAATCACCTGGAATCCAGCCCTTTTTTCTGGGTAGAAACAACCATTGCCAAACCAAAATGGATCAGCTGTGGCAAGACACAAAGCACAGGTCAAAGCAGGTCCCAGCATGGCAGCATAGGGTCATGTGGGTCCTGGTGTGGAGGCTTGAGGTGCTCAGGATTGCTCGGCTCCCATGCCTCCATGCCAGGACCTACACGGGCTTTCCCTATGTGTGGAGATGTGCCACTGGGGTGCACAGAATTGGGCCCCCCTCAAGGCCTTGGAGCATCTGCCCCGGGTGGTGAGGCAGCTCAGGGGCACCCACCTTGTACCACCACAGACCAAATACATGTCAGCTGCAATACACTGGCACACTTTGTTGTTACCTTTTGTCATGCCACTGATGTAGGGTAGCGACATCTATTTGCTCGGCATTTGTGCAGCCATAAAAATTGCGGCGGCACAAATGTGATGTCAGGTGATGCCTGTTTCTATTGTACACAGTGGGTTTATTGCTCTTCAAGCTTTCTCACCATGCAGTGGAAAAAGGTCTCTTCACACCTCCTCTTAGAATGAAAAGACATTTCACACCATGAGGACCTTTGTAATCCTTGGGCCCTCTACTGAGAACGGGCAGTCAGAGGTACTTATCTGGTCCCTAATTTAACTGGACGTTCTTGTAATGTTGGAGGGTACCTGTAAAACGTCTCGTGGACCTGAAAGAGACTAATCTGCTCCAGAGATGTTCCTAGTCTTCCAAATGGAGAATCAGCTCAGAGCAAGAAGAAACTTTCAAGGAGGTAGCCCTTTGGAAGGATGCCTGCAGTATATCCCTGCTCAAGTGGACCACATCTGATGCAACCAACTCATTTCCTGTGGGTCACCAAATAGCCATTGGCTCTTAACAAGTTCAGATGGGTCCTAATCCTGGAGCCCTACATCTCTGTAGGCAGACCCTAGTAACGCATGAAGACCCCCAATGCAATCCATAGGGTTCTACGTAGGAATGAAGCACACGTGGTGTTGGGTTCGGGAACAGGCGTGGGGCCATGAGACATCAGGAGAAACTTCTTCAGGGTAAGGGTGGCCAAAATTTGGAAATGGGCTTCCAAGGGAGGTGGTGCTTTCCCCTACCTCGGGGGGTCTTTAAAAGAAGGCTGGATAGGCATCTGGCTGGGGTCATCTGTCCCCAGCGCTCTTTCCTGCCCAGGGCAGGGGGTTGGACTCGATGATCTGTTGAGGTCCCTTTTGACCCTAGCATCTATGAATCTATGAGATGTAGATGAGGAGAACAACTCCCTTTTTACCGCATCCAATCTGGGCATGCCAGACTGAACAAATGTGGTTAGAGAGTTTTTTTGACTTTTTTCCTTTTAATTCAGCTCTTCGATGTTTCCACTCCCAAGGCCAGTAGTGATAAATAAACCTCCTTTCAATAAGGGAACATTTTCTCATTTTAAACAATGAAGAATTAAGGGAGGAATCCATTTGACGATATATTTTTAAAATAATTGCCTTTCTGCTCATAAAAGCAGAGCATGTATCAAATTCCTCATGCGTCACATACCTCAGCAGGTTTTTACGACGTGAAAGCCATGCTGAGGGGCTCGACAGTCTTCTGTGGGTAGTTTTGATTGATCTAACACTCAAGGTCCACCCTGAAAAACAGCCGTCTTTTTGGAACGACCGGACGTAGGGAAAAAAAAGTGTTTTTATAGAAAATCAAAGTTCACGTCCAATCTTTCAGCCTGTCCTAGTTCTTTGCTTAAATTTATGGGTGGCTGTAGGTGATTTGTTGCTTCCTGGAAGAGCCTCTTACTTCACGTTTAAAGCCATCTCCATGACTCAGAACAGAGAATACAATCTGAGAGTCTTGTAGCATTATTTTTGTGCAACGTGAAGTGTCGGCCCAGCAGTGCAAAATAATTGACTGACCCCATTCTTAAAATTCAAATCAGTGGAAAGAGATCCCCTCTGTTTGGATAGTGCTCCTGGAAACCATTTCAAGAGGACATGTTGGTATTTCCAAATGTATCGATTCACATAGCAATTATGGGGTGTGACGATTAGTGGTACAGATGAAACGATGGTATTTATTGCTAGTATACTGCAGATATATGTGTCTCGCTATCCAGTTCAGTGCTGGAAGACTGGAACAGGATTTCCAAAAGACTGTTCTCAAATGAATAGATCCCGCACAATAACCAGGCCGCCTCTTTTCTTTATTCCTCCTGACCCTCCTTTTTCTTCCCCGTGTTCCTCTTAATCCGGCTCATAACATCTTTTTTTGTTATCTCCCCTCTCCTGCCTCCCACTGCAGCAGGATAGCTTTTCCATTTCTTCTAGTAAGACCTGTCAAAACTCTAGTCAAAATGTTTTTTTCCCACTGGAAATTCAACTTTTTGATTTTTTTTTTTAAAAAGGAGAAATACCTTTTTACTGAAGAAAATGCCAACTTTGGGGCAGCATCCCTCTGAAAAATGTTCAGCCAGGAATTAAAAAACAGAGGATTCTCTCTGAATTTTTTTTCATTTTCATCGTCTTAAGAAAAAAAAGTTGAAATTTCTCTCAGGTGGCAGGTAAAAGATTTTCCAACTGGATCTACCTTTTAGTATGTTCTCTCTTCGAAATGCCCAGATCCTTTCTTAAGATCCACTTGTTCCAGAAATTATTCCTGCTCTTCTCTCTCCAATAAGCCCTTCATACTGCCCTTTATCTGATCTGCCCATTGTCTCTTAATTTTTCGTATATCCTTTTTTTTTAATGCTTCTGGGCAGAGAATATAGTCAAAACTACATATATAGGTAGTCAATCTGGATTCATACCAGCCTAGAAGAAATCAGAATGATGGGTGTTTTGTTCCCATGGAAATTCACATTTGGATACATATTCTTATTATTGATACCGGGTAATCAATGAAGGGCAGTATAATGCTGACTTTGTCTGACTTGTGCTCTCTCTATACCATCGGCAAGTTATTCCTGAAGCAGAAGTCTTTTCAAATACTATAAAGAGGAGCCTCTAAATGAGTGTGGAAAATGTGTAGGAACACCCAGAAACCTTTCAGGTTCTTGACCAAAATGGCACCCACCCACAGAACTATATATTAACTACTACAAGCATGTATTTCCTTGCACAAATGGAAACTGGTTCATGTTCAAGAATCTCAGAAATTCTGTGCACCTTTCTAGACACCTCACTGATAATTTGACCCAAAATGTGGGACCTTTTAAATTAAATTACATTTAAAAAATATTTTGTTAGAAATTAAAAAAAACACTTGTAGGTATTATCTTGCGAAATAGCATTATGTATAGAAAAGCATTACCCATGCCATTGTTTCTGTGCTGGGCAAGATTCATGGAAGCAATGGTATTGTCAATCTACTTCCCAGCAAATGTCATTTAAAATTGTTCTGAGCTCCTGTTTTAGGAAACATGGTAGCTATAAGAGTTAAAAAGAATGCTTTCTATCATTTTTAGCTGCAGCAATTTCTACATCTTGCATCATGGCTAATGTGGCAAAGGTTTAATGCTATTCTTTTTCATAGCATTTGGTGCCTTCCAACTGGCCGAATATATAAAATAAGAAAACTTTTTGTACTTCATAGTGCCGCTCTCATGGTGGTCTGGCAACTGTTCAGATGATACATTTGAAGAGTTCACAGACAGCATCTTGGCGACTTTTTCAAGCCTTTCCTAGGATTTGACATTTGTGATTCAATTCACTTTTTACCCCTTGGCCATGACAAATAAACATCACTGGAGTCAGAAATAACGGCAACTCATTCAAAGAGAATACAACCTTGCCCAGAAAGTGATTCTAACTGAAGCCTGAAATCACAATAACATTCGCCATTCCCTAGACACGTGGGGAATATAAGATTGTGCATGAAATAACCTAATTTAAAAGAAAACCCGGTGATGACCACCAAGAGGCCTAAACCTGTTTTTTTCCCATTGAACTGATATTCACATGTGATGTTCATGAACACTGTACAGGCCCTCGGAAGGAAGAATAGATTCCTTAATCATTTAGGACTTTGCTCCATATGTAAGAAGACTGCAGATGACACCAAACTAGGGGGAACAGTAGAAAGACTGCAGGGTAGGGCTGGAATTGAGAGAGACCTTGACATATTGAATGACTGGACCGAGAGAAATCCGATGAGGTTCAACAAGGACAAGTGCAAAGTCCTGCACTTAGGACACAACAATCCCATGCACCGGGACAGGGTGGGGGTGACTGGGTGGGCAGCAGCTCTGCAGAAAAGGACCTGGGGGTGACAGTGGACAATAAGTTGAAGATGATCCAACAGCGTGCCTTTGTTGTGAAGAAGACTAATGGCATCCTGGGCTTCATTAGTAGGAGCATTGCCAGCAGATTGAGGAAGTGATTATTCCCCTCTATTCAGCATGGGTGAGGCCACAACTGTAGTACTGTGTCCAGTTTTGGGCCCCCACTACAGAAGGGATGTGGACACACTGAAGAGAGTCCAGAGGAGGGCAATGAAAATGGTGAGGGGGCTGGGGGACAGGACTTCTGAAGAGAAGCTGAGGGAACTGGGCTTATTTAGTCTGGAGAAGAGAAGACTGAGAGGGGATTTAATAGCAGCCTTCAACTCCCTGCAGGGAGGTCCAAAGAGGATGGAGCTGGGCTGTTCTCAGTGGGTGCGGATGACAGGACAAGGAGCAACGGGTGCAAGCTACAGCAAGGGAAGTTTAGATTAGATATTAGGAAAACTTTCTCACAAGGAGGGCAGTAAAGCACTGGAACAGGTTACCCAGAGAGGTGGTGGACTCTCTGTCCTTGGAGGTTTTT